ACCCTTAAGATGTCAAATGTAGTCAGTTCATAGAACCCATCTTTATGGAAGCAGTCATGTGTACTTTACCAAGAGTTTGATGTAATCATGTCTTAAGCTTTGTTGTACACACAGGATTGAGTTAATTACTGAAGGGGTTCTAGCCAGCTTGAGTGTGGCAAGCATGGCTCTGGTAGACCTTGCCCTCCCCCATTCCCTCTGCCTTGCTAAAATCCTTTAGATTACATTCCTAAAGCTAGCCACCAAGGTCAGACATTCCCTTATTTGGCCACTTCCTCCTCCTGGGGCTGACTACCAAGGTCCAGCTATCAAAGTATTGAAGTCCAGCAGTCAGAAGCCCCCTTTGCCTCACCTAGTTAGCATGCCCGTCCTAACACAGGGTTCCCCTTTACCTTTAGAAACTGCCATTTTCCTGTGTGTCATGCCTGTCTCCTCTCTAGCCAGGGGCATTCCCTCCAAGACAACTACCCCTGCCCGCTCTCCCTTGTTCCCTTCCCCTTCTCCCTTGCCCTCTGTCCCCCGTCTTTGTCCCTTATTCCTGCCTTCTGTCCCTCTGGGACAAATAAATCTCTTTTGTGCTGAGAACTTGTCCTTGGGGGTCCTGAGCCAATATTTTTCCTTTCAATTATTACCTAGAAACCTTTTTCCAAAATTGTGCTATGCTTAAATATGCCTCAAATAAACCACCCGGTGTCAGACTTTGGAAATCTGAACCAAGACCAGCTACTGGGTTGTGTTGAACCAGACTTCCTTCTTGCCTCACACAGATCGTTACTCTGCTGACTATGGCATTTACAGACCCCATAATTCTTGTTTAGAAAGCCATTTCTAGGAATTCTGGTCTCACAGAAGACTTCCTGGTCCTCTGGCTCTCATGACATTTCTGCCCTCTCATCCACCATGTGCCCTTAGGTGCAGGACTTGTATTAAAGATGTGTCCATTGGGACTGGACTCCCCATGATCTGTTCATCTCTGCACTGTGTGCAGTTGTGGTTTTCTGCAATGGTCTTCATTTGTTGTAAAGAAAGGCTTCTTTTATGGAGGGTGAGAGCTATGCTTACCTGTATGTCTAAGGATAAGTTTTAGAATGCAGTTAGGAATTATGCTGGCCTAGAAAAGTGGTGGTAGTAGATTCTCCTCTAAGATGCACGGCCTTGACAGTCCCAGGTAGTTGGCTGTTTCTAGTACCAGGCATGATTCCCCTCATGTTGAGTGGGCCTTAAGTCTAACTAGAGAGCTGTTAGTTACCACCAAGATATGAATGCCATGATTGCACCTTTAGGGGAATCTTGCCATGCTGATGGGTGCTGTAGTTCACAGATGTCACAGCAGGTAGGTCTACTGACTGCCCCCCTTGCTTGGTAGCTTTCATAGCACTTTCTGGTACCATGCAAGTTAGACCACAGTATTAGCATTCAGGCATTTATACTGGCCTGCTCTCGAGGACCTAGTAGGACACGTCATCAGCAGCAGCCAAGATGTGACACTAGCTGCAGCAGCCACTAAGTAGAGCACTCTCGAAGGCCGTGTGCGAGCCCTTCTCACCCCTCTCTCTCTTTCCTTCTGCTCTCACTCAGAATCTGCCTCTGTACCTCCCCCCAATAAACCTCCCACGTGAGCTCTGTTGCATGGTGTGACTCTGTGATGCCCCTTGGCTCCAACCCGCCAAGGCTGCCTTCTGCCACTAAACTATCACACACAGGAAGGGGACTTTCAGGTTAGGACACAGGACTCAAGCTGGATGATTGGCTTTTTTAAAACAGCGTATAGTAATTACATAAAATGGTGGCTTCATTATGTATATGTAATATACATATACATTATGTATATGTACATGGCATGTGTATATGGTACTTGGATGACACTTCCTTTCCCCATTCCCTGTCTCCTTTCTTGTTGGTCCCATTTATAGTCATAATACTTTTATGAATTTGGGATTTTTGTTGTTGTTGTTGTTGTTATGTCTTTCTTCGTTTAGGTTTTTTGAGACAGGGTATCTCTATGCGACCTAGGCTGGTCTCAAATTCAAAGCAATCCTGCCTCAGCATTCCTTTCCTGTTCTGGGATTATAGGCCTGCACCTCCACACTCAACTCACAGTATTTTTAAAGACCAAGAAATACAGGTTTATTGGATGTATTAGCTACTTTTACAATATATTATCTACTTTTATGTTGCTGTGATAAAATACCATGACCAAAAGCAAATTAAAGAAGTCTATGTTGGCATGAGTTCCAGGGGGCCAGCTGCTCATAATGGCAAGGGAAGCACAGCTGCAAGAGCAGGAAGCCAAGAGACCACATCTCAGTCATCCACAGGAAGCAGAGAAAACATGTAAAGGTGGGGCGAAGCTATAGACTCCTAAAGCCCACCACCAGTATGGTGATATTTTATTTGTGCTGAAATGTGATTTTATTTGTATGTTAGTAAATAAAGTTGCCTGGGGGTCAGAGCTAATAGCAAGCCATAGCAGAAGCCAGGCGGTGGTGGTGCACGCCTTTAATCCGATCCCATGACAGGCAGATCTCTGTGTGTTCAAGGATACAGCCAGCATGGAGACACACGCCTTTAATCTCAATACGAACCATAGAGACCTAGAGGTCTGTATAGACAGACAGTGATGAGGAGGTCATGTGGTTGGGTTTACAACCAATGAGACGGTAGAACAGAAAGTCAATAAAAAGACAGACACACAGGAAGTAGGTCTCTTTCTGAGAGGAAGGACGGTAGCAGCGGGTGGTAAGAAGGCGGTTTTAGTCTTAGCTCTTAGCTACTGCTCTGACCTCTTGGACTTTTAACTCTGCATTTGGCTCTGTTTCTTATTTAATAAGACTATTACATCTACACACCAGCATCTTAGGATTTCTATTGATGTGAAGAGACTCCATGACCATAATGTAGGGAAAAGGGGCTGGCTAAAGAAACCTACCTTGACCCTGGACCCCAGAACTAGGAAAAGATGGCTCAGATCAGGGCAGAAAGAAACACAGTTTGGCTCAGATCAGAGCTATCTCTGCCCCTGGCCAACTGACCTGTGAAACCAACCAATCACAGAGCACGAAAGTATCACTCTGGCCCTGTAGCCCAGGACCAGAAACACAGCCTGGGTTTGGGATCTGAGCCAGAGAAATGAACACTTTATCCCCAAACCCAGAACCAAGGAAACGTGCCCTGACTCTGAAACTAGTGCCAAAGTAACACTCTTGGTCCCAAAATCAGAGTCAGTGAAAGAAATGTGCCCTGGTCTTAGAAGTAGTGTCAAAAAGCCAAGAAAGGCCAGTGAAAGAAACACAGTTTGGTCCTGAAATCAGGGCCATCTCTGCCCCCAGTCCACAAAACTGACCAATCCCTGGGCAGGAAAAAAACTAGCTAATCCCTGGTTGACTCTGCCCCCAAGACATCCTATATAAACCACCCTGCCTGGTCAGTTGTGAGCTGTTCTCTCCATCCTGGTAGAGACAGCTACTCTCCTGGACCCCTCCTTCCCAAATAAATCTCTTTCTCAAAAGAGTTTTGGTTATGAAGATCTTCATTCACTGGTGAACAGAAGATCCATGCTGAGACGTCCCTCAGTGGACAGAGCAAGGAAGAACTGAAAAAGTAACACTTTTCTCTGGAGCCAGAGGAGATTGCTCCATTTCTACAGGGGTTTTCCCTTTTGCAGAGTGAAACAAAAGAAGCAACATCTTAGGCTGGAGAAGCAGAACTCTGCTAGGAAGCCCCCTTAAGTGGGGGCTGAGCAAAGCTCTGCTGTAGCGGCTCTCCAGGAGAGGAGCAGGATTGCTATATCCTGCCGGGAGACCATCCCCCACCACAGCAGGTACAGCCTGACTCTCCCAAACAATCAGGATACCCTTCCCGGCTGAACTGTCCTAGCAGCTCCAGGCCTGACTCTCCCGAGCAGTCAGAATAGCTTCCCCTCCAGGGCAGAACTGTATCCCCTAAGTGGCTCGAGGTATCCAGCACACCTCGGCCCTCCAGCTGTTAGAGCTGGCCTAAGCGGTTTGTGGCTCACAGCATCTGGATACCTGGCCCTGAAGCTGTCAGCTGTTCTAAGCGGCTACCTCGCCCTCTAGAGCTGCTGTCTCATCACAACTCCAACCATCACGTGACTCCCCAAGTGGTCAGGATACCTCTCCCCCAGAGTTGCAAAACTCCCATTTTGGTGCCAAAATCCAGGACCAAATCCACAGAGTTGCAACAAATTTACTTACACATAGCAACTTATAAAGGGAAAGAAAGAAAGGAAGAAAGAGAGACATGTAGAAATGAGAGGAGAGAGAGAGAGAGAGAGAGAGAACTTTGAAACATTTTTCATAGGGACAAAACACTTCATGAATTGAGCTGACTTCAAGGCAGGATCTTTCTATTTTAAATAAGTAGTTCATTTTAAATTTCAAAACTATGAAGAAAAGTAATAGTAATTTGCATCTTTGTATACCTATTAAACAGATATTTACCTGAGGTGTTCTTTCATAAGTAAATATGGCTTGGTCTATAAGCTTATCTCTGTCCCGGTGCTGTAATGTCTAAAATCTCAAGTTCATTACTATAAAAATGTTCTCAGTATTGAAGTGAGCTTGCTGGACAATCATAAAGACCACTATTCAGTTCCCAGCACCCGTACAGCAAGGGAGGCGTCCTTTACTCAACTGTAACCCAGCTCCAAAGGGGGCAGAAACAGGAGGGCTACTGGGGCTTTGGGGCTAGCATACCCAAGAAATTGAAAGCCCTAGGTTCATGTTCACTTTCCAAAAGGAAGACATAGAGTGTGCACCTGCACACACACGCATATACACTCATACAGACATACACACTAATAAATCACTACATTATCTCATCTTAAATGTACATGTTTCAACATAAAAAGTGTTCAGAACATGTTGCTTGCCTGCAAGACATGTATCTATAATGTACAATCCACGAAATAATATTTTAAATCTGCAAAAGTGTCCCCACGAGGCACAGATGTGATGCCCAAGAGGAAACCCCACACTCACGAGACAAACTTCCCGACTTCCACTTGAAGCACAGGGTCCCGCAGGTGCACTTCCAGAAGTAAATCTTCAGCCTGAGGCCCATCTCCAGTTTTCACAGAATGGGGATTAAAGATTCTCAAGTAGCCCATGAAGCTGCCCACGATGATTTTATCTGTAAACAGATTTTCAAAAGACAGAGTAACAAACAGACATTAGCAAATATCATGGGGAATCAACTTTCTGAAGACTAAAGAAGTCAAAATATTAAAAGATCCTAACCTTGCTTCAAACACAAAGTCACTCTACCAACAGATGATATGATTAAAGGGAACTTCTGAGTAACACATACCTTCTCAAAAATCAGCTCTACATCACTGAAAGTCAAGGATACTAGTGAAAATGAATGTGTTTTTCTTAAGCATCAATTGATATCCATCATAATTCAGATCAATGACAGCAAGTCACTGTCTCAAAAGACTGATAAAGATTACAGACTTGTTTCATCATGGAATGTTAATTCTATAATTGACTACAACTGTTGAAGACACTCATTGGAGTGCCCCTGTTAACAGTGAATGGTCTTGGGCTCAGTAGTTAAGGGAGGAATGTGTATAGGAATGTAAATGATGTCTTCCAAAAAGATATGTTCAAATCCTTGCTCAAGGTATCTGTATATGTGATGCAGTTTGAAAAGTTTTTGCAGATATAACCAAGTTAAAATGAGGATACAACTGTCCTTTAGGGAAAAAGACATAGGAATCCAAATGCCAAATTATGATGCAAAGCAGCCAGGTGAGCTGGCACAGGCATGTAATCCCAGCACTTAGAAGCTTCCTTAGTTACTTTTCTATCACCTATGACAAAGGCAACTTATCAAAGAAAATGTTTGATTTGGGGCTTATGAGTTCAGAGCCATGGCAAGGCACACAGCGGCAGGTGTGGCAGCAGGTGTGGCAGCAGGTGTGGCAGCAGGCAGACGGGCATGGCACTGGAGTAGTAGCTAAAAGCTTTCTTACATCCCTTCCCAAAAGTAGGAAGCAAAGAGAGAGTGTGTGAACTGGGAATGGAACAGACTTTTGGAACCTCAAAGCCTACCCCACCCAGTGACACACCTCCTCCAACAGGGCCATTTCCTAATCCTTCCCAAATAGTTCCACCTACCAGGGACCAAGCATTCAAATATATGAGCCTATGGGGCCATTCTCATTCACACCACCACAGAAGCTGAGGGAAGACAGAGAATAAGTTGGGGGCTGGGATATGTCCATCTGACAATACTGGCAGAAATTGGAATGATACATCTACAAACCAAAGAGTGTCTTGAATTACTGGAACTTAGAAGAAACAAATAAGGACCCTAGAGTCCTCAGAAAAACTAGAAGAAGGAGCTAAAGAGATGGTCCAGCAGTTAAAAGCACTGACTACTCTTGCATAAGGACCCGAGTTCAGTTCTCAGCACCCACATGGTGGCTCACAACCACCTGCAACTCCAGTTCCAGAGTATCCGATGCCCTCTTCTGGCCACCATTGGGTATTGCAACATATGGTACACGTGACTCACACCAGCAAACACATAAACAATACACATAATATAAATAAATAAATGAATATTTTAAAATAACACTAGAAGAGGCAAAGAAATACTAGAAACCAGAGAAACAGCATGGCCCTGACAACACCTTGATTTCCAAAGCTTAGCACCTACAACTATGACAGAATATGTTCCTGTCATTTTAAGTCATTAGAGTGATACTTTGTTATAGTGATATTAAGAGACAAATCTTTATCTGTGGTTGGCATGTAAAATGAATAAAAAAAATTTAATTAAAAAGAGAAACCAATCATCCATTTCAGAGGCAGTCTGCCTTTCCTTTACTCAGTGCTTACTGAGCCAGGCCATGGACTAGGCAGTTCCCCCAGACTAACTCTAAGTCCTCAGCATCACCAGGAAAGGCACTCCCATGGGGGCCTCAGTCCTAAAGAAACACAAAGCCATCAGGAATCCAGAAGACCCAATGGCAGCATTCTGGAGGTCTGCAAGGTCAGTGACGCCATGATCATTTCTGCTCCTGTCAAGTTCCAGCCAGACAAACCCTACTTCGCAGTTGGAGGGGTGTTAGTATTCTCAGTCCTTCTTCATTTATCCTGATGTCCTATTACTTGTAGACAAAAAAAAAAGTTAACTGGTGTAGAAATTAACACAGAGAGTAAAATGTAAGCATGAATATCCCTGCAAGGAGGATATGTGACATCTTGTGTTCTGTGGGAGCACCAAGCAGTAAGGCTCCTGTCCATGCTCTAGGTGGGGTTTGAGAGCACCACGCAAAGAAACAGAATAAATAAATTATCACAGCTCATCTTCTGGGACCTGGTGCTCTGCCCTAGATTGTTATCAGATGATGTAATAAAACACTGATCAAAACCATGGACAGGAGGAAAGGGTTGGTTTGTCTTATAGGTTAGCCTATTATTGGCACAGGTCGGGGCAGGAACCTGAAAACAGGAACTAGAAACAGAGACCATGGAGGAAAAGCACTGTATGCTCCTAGAGAAGGGGACTGTGATGGTTTGAATGAGAAGGACGCCCCATAGACGTCACCAGGGAATGGCACTATTTGAATAAAGAGGTGTGGCCTTGTTGGAGGAAGTGTGTCACTGGGGGTGGACTTTGAGGTTTCAGAAGCTCAAGGAAGGCCCTGTGTCACTCTCTCTTCCTGCTGCCTGCAGATCCAGATGTAGAAGGTGCCACCATGCTTCCTGCCGTGATGATGATGGACTAAACCTCTGGACTGTAAGCCAGCCCTAGCTTTCTTTCTTTCGTAAGAGTTGCCATGGTCATGGTGTTTCTTCACAGCAGAACACTGACTAAGACAGGGACTAATGCTCACTTGAACAGATGCACTTGACAAAAGCAAACAGCCATGCTCTGCAAGTATCCTGAGTACTGACTGAGTTCTACTAATTCTAGAGGGCCAGAAAGACAGTGTTACAGAGGACAGAACTGGTAGAGTAGATGTCCTGAGAGGACTGGGAGAGGCAGGATCTGAATCGGGGACAAAAGGGCTCATCAGATTTAAACAGGCATGGGAACTTTCCTTTCTAGTCCTCTTGTCTTTGTCACAATGGGAAAAAATCTCTAGCTCTACACTGTCCTCCTCTTTCTTACCTGTGCTTTTCATAGCGAGTTTCTTTAAGGAGCCATAGTTAGTCCCTGCACCTCCCACTCTCCGTCACTCACTACATATCTACAAGTGAATACTCATCCACCCTCATCAAGAACACTAGTTAGCAGCTGGAGAGATGTACTGTTCTTGCAGAGGACCCTGGGTCCTCAGCATCCATGTCAAGTACCTCACAAGTAACTATCTGAAAATCTCACTCCGGGGGACCTGACACTGGACTCTGCAGGTTCGTGCACTCATGGGCACATAACCCACACACAAATTCAGGCAAACGCATGTAATTTATAAAAGGTAATAAAAATAAATCTTTTTTAATGCAAAGAACACTAATGAATCTCTTGCTACTAAATAGATTGAGAACCTTTCATTCCTCTTGTCATTAAAAACTCTGCCTTTCATAACTGGATGTCAACATGTAGAAGACTGCAAATAGATCCATATCTATCACCATGTATAAAGTTCAAGTCCAAGTGGATCAAAGAACTCAACATAAATTCAGTTACACTGAACCTGACAGAACAGAAAGTAGGAAGGAACACATTGGCACAGAAGACCACTTCCTAAATCTAACACCAGTAGCACAGACACTGAGAGCAACAATTAATAAACGAGACCTATTGAAACTGAGAAGCTTTTGTAAGGCAAAGGACACAGTTAATAAGACAAAATGACAGCCTACAGAATGGGAAAGATCTTCACCAACCCCACATCTGACAGAGGGTTGATCTCCAAAATATATAAAGAACTCAAGAAACTAGACATCAAAATACCTAACAGTCCAATTTTAAAAAATGGGCTACAGAGCTGAACAGAGAATTCTCAACAGAAGAATCTCAAATGGCCAAAAGACATTTAAGGAATTGCTCAACATCCTTAGTCATCAGGGAAATGCAAATCAAAACGACTCTGAGATACCACCTTACACCCGTCAGAATGGCTATGATCAAAAACACTAACAACAGCTTATGTTGGAGAGGATGTGGAGCAAGGGGAACACTCCTCCACTGTTGGTGGGAGTACAAACTTGTACAGCCACTTTGGAAATCAGTATGGAGACTTCTCACAAAACTGGTAATCAATCTACCTCAAGACCTAATGATACCACTCTTGAGCATATACCCAAGGAATGTTCAATCATACCACAAGGACACATGCTCAACTATGTTCATAGCAGCATTATTCATAATAGCCAGAACCTGGAAACAACCTAGATGTCCCTCAACTGAAGAACGGATAAAGAAAATGTGGTACATATACACAATGGAGTACTACTCAGCAGAGAAAAACAATGACATCATGAAATTTGCAGGCAAATGGATGGAACTAAAAAAATATCATCCTGAGTGAGGTAACCCAGACTCAGAAGGACAAACATGGTATGTACTCACTCATAAGTGGATACTAGATATAAAGCAAAGGATAACCAGACTGCAACCCACAGCTCCAGGAAGGCTAGCTAAGGAGGGCCCTAGGAAGGATGCATGGATCACCCAGTAAAGGAGAAATAGATGAGATCTATATGAGCAACCTGGGAGTGAGGGGGGGGTAATGGAGGGCAAGTGATGGGGGATGAGAACATAGGGGAATGGGAAGTTTGAGCTGGAACAGGGACAGAGTGGGAGATCAAGGAAAGAGATACCATCATAAATGAAGACATCATGTGAATAGGGAGAAACAGAGTGCTAGTGAAGTTCCCAGGAATCCACAAGAATGACCCCACTTTAGACTACTGGCAATAGTCAAGAGGGTATCTGAACTGGCCTACTCTGATGATCAGACAGCTGAACACCCTAACTGTCATCATAGAGCCCTCATCCAGTGACTGATGGAAGCAGATGCAGAGATCCATGGACGAGTGCCAGGCCGAGCTCCGAGAATCCAATCGATAAGAGAGAGGAGGGATTCTATGTGCAAGGGATGTCAAGATCATGATGGAAAAATGCACAGAGATGACCAGCCAAACTAGTGGAAACCCACGAACTGTGGACCAATGGCTGAGGAGCCCCCAGGCTACTGGATTAGGCCCTGTGGATAGGCAAGACAGTTGTTTAGCTTGAACTGGTTAGAGGACCCCAGACGGTGGGATTGGGATCCGTCCCTGGTGCATGAGCCAGCTTTTTGGAGCCTAGTGCCTACGGTGGGACACCTTTCGCAGCCTTGATGCAGGGAGGAGGGCCTTGGACCTGCCTCAACTGAATGTACCAGGCTCTGCTGACTCCCCATGGGAGACCTTGCCTCGGAGGAGGTGGTAAGGGGAGGTGGTTTGTTGGGTAAGGCTGGGAGACGGGAGGAGGGAGGAGAGGGGGGCCTGTGGTTGGTATGTAAAATGAATAGAAATTTTAATAAAAAATTCAAAAAAGAAAAAGAAAGTAAAAGGAAAGGAGTAATATTTATATCACCAGATTAATTTTCTTTCTGGGAAGCCAATGAATATCTGAATTGCAAAGTAAGAGCTCATGAAATAGAAACTATTTAAACTTAGTACAAATTTCATACTATAATAATATAGAACTAGACCATTTTTCTTCTTTTTTTTTAAATAGTTTTTCAAGACAACTATTTTCAAGACAAGGTTTTCTTTCTGTAGCCTTGACTGTCCTGGAACTCACTCTGTAGACCAGGTTGACCTTGAATTCACAAAGATCTGCCTGCCTGTACCTCCTGAGTACTAAGATTAAATGCATGTGCCACCACTACCCGGCTTGACCTAGGCCCTTCTTAAAGACCACTTAAAACATGAATATTCGGAGAAGCAAGTAATGTAAGAACAGGACAGTAACTGGTTTTTGTAAAACAAAAAACGAAAGCAATGACTTAGCAATTGTTTCCCCTCACTAACAGAATTAGCATGATTTTATTACAGCATTAATGTTTCCAGATTCAATTAGAAAAGCACATCATAGCCAGGCAGTGGTGGAACACACCTTTAATCCCAGCACTCGGGAGGCAGAGGCAGGCAGATCTCTGTGAGTCCAAGGCCAGCCTGGTCTACAGAATGAGATCCAGGACAGCCAATGCTAAACAAAGAAACCCTGTCTCAAAAAAACAAAAAAGAAAAGAACATCATTTTCATTATAAATAACTTCTAAAATGAATTTTTTATTTTAAATATTTTACTAGTTCTTCCAAGTGGGATCTTAAATATTTAAAATAAAAAATTCATTTTAGAAGTTATTTATAATGAAAATGATGTTCTTCCTTAAAAGATCCCACTTGAGCCGGGCGGTGGTGGTGCACGCCTTTAATCTCAGCACTCGGGAGGCAGAGGCCGGCGGATCTCTGTGAGTTCGAGGCCAGCCTGGGCTACCAAGTGAGTTCCAGGAAAGGCGCAAAGCTACACAGAGAAACCCTGTCTCGAAAAACCAAAAAAAAAAAAAAGATCCCACTTGGTAGCAAATCAAGTGCCACATGATTTGTCTATTAATTCCACCAAATTAATAGGACAGAATGAACAAAAGCCAGAATGATATCAACAACAAAGCAGAGGGAAGAACTCTGTCAGCTGCCATCTACACACTACTTATAAGAAAACACCAGACATGGTGGCACATGTTCATAATCGTAACCTCAGGAGGATCGGAGTGAGACTGGGGCCAGCCTGGACTACCTCAGGAAAGTTTATCTCTAAAACAGGGCACGGGGGGGGGGGGGGGGGGGGGGGGGGCGGGAGGAGGCACATTCAAACCTAGGTTATAATTATGACCTGCAGTTAGTCATGTTCTATTAAGTTCATATTCTCATTTCTTTAAAGCTTTGCTCAGTGGGGAAATGCAGTCTACAGCCCAATATCAGAAAACCTCCTTGGCAAGTGTGAGGCCTGGGTTCAGTCCCCGACACTGGGGAGACAGAAGCACACCCGCACCCCCTTACCTTGTCCATCTCCACTGTTGTCCACGTCAGCCAAACACAAGCAGCCTTGATCGAACTCTTCCTTCTCACCCAGCACAGTAGACCACCAATCACGGGCCTTAAATAAGGACATGTTCTTTCACCCTAAAAATAAAACATTCATTTATAATAAAAATTCACTTTATGAAAAGGAAGAAGTCAAATTATCCCATTTGCAGATCACATGATTCTCTTTTTAAAAGACCCTAGAGAATTCTTAGATGTAAAAACACTTACTATAAAACTATAAGATACAAAATCAATAGTCAAAAACAAGCAATAGCCTTCACATACACCAGAAAGAAATTAGAAAAACTAGACTATTCATAAGAACTCCCAAAACTGTCAAGTACCTATGGGCCATAGAGATGACTATGTTAACAATACATACTGATCAGCTAGGCGGTGGTAACTCACGCCTTTCACTCCAGCACTTGGGAGGCAGAGGCAGGAGAATCTCTGTGAGATTGAGGCCAGCCTGGTCTACCGAGCAAGTTCTAGGACAGGCTCCAAAGCTGCACAGAGAAAACCTGTCTCTGAAAAAAAAAAAAAAAAAAGGAATGCATACTAATATTCCAGAGGACCTGAGTTTGATTTCCAGCACTCATATTAGATGGCTCATAACTGCCTATAACTCCAGGTCCTGGGGATCTGGTGACCTCTTCTGGCCTCCAATGACACTGCACTCAGGTGCATAAACCCACACACAGGTATATACACATAATTTAAAAATAATAGTAATAAGATAAATTACTTTAAATATTAAGTACACCTAACCAACAAATTGAAACGTCAAGAGTTTGAAAAGGGAAATTAAAGATGCTAAGTGAGAGAAAGATTTATGATCTTGGATTAGCAGAATTAATATGACAAAAAAATGGATATACCACCAAAAGTAATTTACAGATTTTATACAATATTTAACAAAATTCCAATGTCTTATTGCACAGATCTAGAAAAAAACAATCTAAGTATGCATATAAAACACAAATAACCAAAGCAATGCTCAACAGTAAGAACACATTGGAGGTGTGACAAAACCCAGCCTCAAACTATACGACAGAGTCACAGTGACAACCACAGCATGGTCCTGACACAGAAACAGGCAGGCAGACCTCTGGGACAGAATAGAGGACCCAGACAGAAACCAACAAAGCTATGACCACCCGTTCACAAAGGAGGGAAACACGCAGTAGCAAAGAGCCCCTGGGCAACGAACGGTGCTGGTAAAACTGGGCATCCTGTTGGGGGGGGGGGGTAGATTAGATCCCTACCTTTCCTCTGCACAGAATCAACTCAAAACGTAGCAAAGGCCTGAAAACCTGGAATGCTGACTGTGCTGCAGGAGACCAGGGAGAATGTTCTTCCAGACACTGGGAGATCTCAGCGGGACTTTGGAGCACTCAGGTCTAAATGGGATGTCTTTATCAAATCCTCCCCCCCAAGGCTCAGGGATCGAGGAAGTGGGAAGACTGTGAGAGCCAGAGATGATGGCTGACTTCTGTGTTTTCTAGACACAGACAGGTGCATGAACTCACAGGGACTGTGCAGCATGCACAGGGCCTGCACAGGCTCAAGTCAGATGGGTCCCAGCACTCTCATCCCTCACCAAGACTCTATCTGCAATTGACACCCTTTTGTAAAGGAAAACTCAGTTCTCTCCGGTGAACTCTCACTAGGTATATTAACCACGTCAGGCAGGCCTCATGCCCAGGAGCAGCTGACCAACACAAAACAAACTTGATGGCGTTTTTGTAGATATTTTGTCCTACTTTGCTCTGCTTGGGCACTTTTTGTCTTACTGGCCTTTTGCTTGTTTATTTTTATTTCTATATTTATGTCTTTGTACAGGTTTTTGAGTGTATGTTTCTTGCATCTTTGTTTTAATAAAAAAAAAGAAAGAAAGAACATAAAGTTGGGTAGGTAGAAGAGGTACAGAGGATCTGGGGGTGCCAGGGGATGGAAAAACATGACTAAAATATATTGTGTGAAAATTTTTTCAATGAAGAAACTAAACCATACATTATATATAAAATAAAACAAAACAGGATTTACAAAGATAGCGGGAAGAAAAGACACTGGGTGGGCAAGAACGTTCTGAATGGAACACCCACGGCGCAGGAACAGCTCCAGTATCAACAGACGGAACTACATGGAACATAAAGTGTCTGCACAGCACAGGAAAGTGACGGCAAGCAGCCCACAGAGCAGGAGAAGCCCTTCCACTCATGCTCCACACGGGGACTAACACACAGAACTTACAAAGAACTGCCGAAATTAAATGCCAAGGAAATAAAACTGACAGTCAGCAAAGGTGCTAATGAGAGGAACAGTCTACCAACACGTGGTATGTTGCATTACCTGGCTTGTTCAGTGCCTTAAAGCTCGAGGGCGCCCCACTTTCAACTATCTGTGGGCCAGAAGCACCCCAGCCTTGGCAAGCAGGGAGGAAACAACAGAAGAGGAACAGCAGGCCCAGTGCAGGGCACGTCTGTGAACACATCACACATTTGAAAACCACAACGTCAGTGACAGTGACAGTTTAAGGCCGAAATGACCGACGCTGGCAACCACACGCTTCTGAACCTGTACTGATAAAATACGATGTTGGTGGTGGTCGTGGTCTTCTAATTGTCGTTATTATTGTTACTGCTATTACTATGTATAAAGAACAAATTCTTTACAGTGAGTGGGATTGGCAACCCATGCTTATACCTTTTAAAAATCTAAGCAGGGCAGAAATCCGGACTACAAAGAAGCTTTCTCTACAGAAAATCCAGCAGCTTCTCTTATGAACTATCGGCTAAAAACCTGAAATTATTAACAAGACTAGAAAACCCACCCACACTACGGTGGCTCAAACTGGGGATTCCCTAGAAGAGGAAGAGGATAAAAAGCAACCACTTTCTCCCAGCTGTGTGCAGGGCTCGGCTCTGCCTTTCTCAGAAGACTGCCACTCTGTGAGAGCTCTGCTGCTGTCACTCATGTCTGACACACGTGGACACCAATTCCTCTGTGCATGTGTGTGATACGATGCTAGTCAGGCCAGAGAACTGTCATTACACCACAAGCATCACCTGGACTCTTAGTTTCTACACAGAAACGAAGGGGGGGGATCACTGTGATGACTCTAGTGTATATTATCAATTGAGGCCACCCAAACTCAGAGAGGAAAAGAACACATGTTCTCCCTCATGTGCCAACTCTGGTCTACAATGTTTTTTGAGACATGGTCTCATCATGTAGCCCAAGCTGGCTTTGAACATTCAATCCTTCTTCCTCAACCTCCTGAGTCCTGGGAGTGTAAGCATGCACCACCACACTGCTTCCACATGAGACAGGGAATGCAGAGCTGGTGAGATGGTCCAGCAGGGCTTGCCACCAAGTTTGATGACCTAAGTTTGACCCCAGAAACTCAGGACGGAAGTAAAGAAGAGACATGTGCACTGACCTGCATACACATGATAAACGAATAAGAAATCAAATGAATAAATATGTAAAATGTGGCAGCAAATAGACCACAAAAAGATACCTGCTTCCAGCTTAAGAACTGAAGATGGCAGAGCGGCTTTGCCATGCCCTGGGATCCTGCAGATTAACGTCCTCACTGCTCTCCCGGCGATCACAGATGACTACCCAAACACTGAGAACATGATTGTGAGATTACAACTACCATCCAGCAGGTAGAAAATTCACAAATACGGAATCTGGAAATGACAAAGACCAGCTGTCCTTTTTTTTAAACACACAGAACAACCTGTTTCTTGGAAGTAGGCCTTCTGCATGGGCTAATCATAGAAACTAAGGCCATTTTCTTCCATACAAAATAAACCAAGAAACTGTCTGAGAATGCTGGAAACCTCACACACTGGAGACAGGCTGTGTGAGTCTGGCTGCCCAACACAAGCTAACCAGAAGCAATGTGATAATCACCCTGTCGACCTGACTGGGTTTGGAACTGCCTAGGAGATCCAGTGTGGGCAAGTCTCCCCATTGTGGGCAAGTCTCCGAGAGTGTTTCCAGAAAGCTTAGCTGAAGAGGGAAGACACCTTCAGCCCAGGGGAAAGGGTCATACTTGATCACGACAGGAAGCCAAGGCAGGAACTCAGGGTAGGAACCTGGAGGCAGGAGCTGAAGCAGAGACCAAAGTGGAACGCTGCTCACTGGCTTGCTTCCCCTGGCATGCTCAACTACTTTTCTTACACAACCCAGGCCCACCTGCCTAGGGATGGCACTGCCTACCGTGGGCTGGGCCTTCCTACATCAATTAACAACTAGGAAAATGCCCCCAGACCAATCCAATGGGGGCAATTCCTCAGCTGAGGCTCCCTCTCCCCAGATGACTCTAGCTACGTCAAGTTGACAGTAAATTGACCAGCACCGTGGGTAATACCATTCCACAAGATGGAGTCACAGATTGGGTAAAAATGGAAGAGGGGAGATGTCAGCTAAACACCAGCATTCATGTCTCTCTCTGTTTCCTAACAGTAAATACCATGTGATCAGCCACCTCACTTCCCCCTGCCATGATGAACTCTGTCCATTCAAACAATGAACCAAAGAAACACTTCCTCACTTAAATTGCGTGGTCAGGCACTCTGTCATCACAATGGGAAAAGTAACTGCTAACCCTGCTATGGTTCAGTCCCTTCACCTACAAACTAAAGTCAGTATGATTATGTGAAACCATTAGTCATGAGTAGTATAGATACTTTTCAGAAACTCCCATATGCGTTGGAACTTATATATTTATTTAGTCCCCTCCTTTTTGAGGCAAGGTCTTCTGTAGGCCAGCCTGGTCTCGCCTTACTATGTACTGGAGGCTGGCCTTGAACTTCAAATCTTTCAATGCTCGCTTCCCAGTGTTGGGATTACGGGCATGTGCCGCCATGTCCAGTGTTAGGCAGTGCTGGGGACTGAGGCCAGAGCCCCTGCATGCTAGGCGAGCATTCTACCCGCTGAGCTGCATACCCAGCTGTTTGGCTGTGTCTTCAGTTGTCAGATAGTTTGACCTTTGCCTCAACTCGGTGGCCATAGCCAGGATGGCTTAAGGTTCCTGTGTCTGTCAAGACAGTCTGGGGTTGGGATGTCAGCTGAGCCGGAACACCTGGCATGATGCTCAGGAGTCCAGCGCCTGGTGCAGCAGACCTCAGTCAGGCTCACTTGTCTTCGGTGTGTGTGTGTGTGTGTGTGTGTGTGTGTGTGTGTGTGTGTGTGTGTGTGCATGTGTGTGTGATTTGAGTGGCTACCATCAGATCTCGAGTTGTCAAGCAGAGGTTGCTAATACAGAAACCTGGCACTAGAAGCAAACTGGTTGTTTGGGAACTCAGCTCCTGGCATTGGGTCTGGGCACAAGCTGTTGGTAGTACTTCCACAGTCAAGGTACAGTGCCAGAGCCCTGGAACTGGGTGCCAGACACAAGTGAGGCTGCTCAGGAGCCCAGAGGCAGGAGTCAGAAATGGGTATGAGCTGCTGGGACTGCCTCCCAGATCCCTTGGACCTCTCTCTTCATCTGTCAAGTGTGTTGCTCCACCCCTTACTCCCACCCTAATCACAGCTTTGCCTCTTAGCACCGATCACGACAGTCCATCTTCCAGGGGGTGTATTCTACCTCTGTTCAAGGCAGAAATAGTTCACCAAGGCATGTAACAGGGCCTAAAAGCAAGGCTAACTGCCAGATGACCAAACTTAAGTTTGGTAGTAAGGACTCAAAAAAATGTTCTAAACACTTTTATTAGAGCTTCATTGGATTTTTACTTGAATGAAGTAATGGTATTTAATAAACCACAAAATTTGTTATTACATATGCCAGACACACAGAAAAAATTGTAATGTTATATACTTGGCTTACCAGAAAGAAGATATCCCCCCTCATACATCAGCTCTCTACTCTTGTCTGTTTGTTAGGGGCTCATGTAGCCCAGGCTGGACTCAAACTTGCTATATAGTCCATGCCAGCCTTGAACTCCTGACCTTCCACCTCCTGAGTGCTGGAATTACAGGTGTACACCACCGTGCCCAGCTAAAGTGTATCTTTTCTCATAGCCCAGAACAGCAAAATAAGAAAATTCTTTCTTGAGAAATGTGGTAAAGAGAAAGAATTCACCAGACCCTGGATTAGGGCATGTGATGAAATCAAAAGAAAGCCAGGGGTTAAGTCATCTAGTTCAGAAGTGGGAGATGTGCCTAGAAAGGTGTGGCCACTTGCTTCAAGCAGGATATCCCCAGTTAAAGGCAGCTTGGTCCAAGGGCAGTTTGTGGGAGGTTGTGGGCTCTTTGAAAGGTGCTCAGTCAGAGGTCATCAGATCATCAGGGAAAACCCTAGACGGGGCTGTGTGCTTTGGCTCCTTCTCCCTTTGCTTCCTAGCCCTGACATGAACACTTTTGCTCGGCCATGTGTCCTCACAGTGACATGGACCTCACCCACAAATCCAAAGCAACGGGGTGACCATGGGCTGGAACCTCCAAACCTAGGAGCCCAGTCAAAACTGTTTCTTTTGTGAATTAATGATCTCGGTATATTGTTAGAGTATCTGAAAGACGACTAAGACAGCAACTACATCAAATGTGGCTGCTTTGCCGGGTGGCGGTGGCCTACGCCTTTAATTCCATCACACTCCCAGAACTCTGTGAGTTAGGGCCAGTCTGGTCTACAAAGCAAGTTCTAGGACAGCCAGGGCTACACAGAGAAACCGTGTCTCAAAAGAAAAAACAAAAACAAAAAACAAAAAGGAAGGAGGAGGGGGAGAAGAAAAAAAGGAGGAAACTGAAGCAAGGAATCGAAGAATGAGTGATTCTCTGCCACATCAGGGAGTCGAAAAGAAGACTGGGGGAGGGGGGGAAGCTGGGCTGCTCAGTGGAAGGAAGACTAAGAGAGAAAGAAGAGCTGCTTAATAGTCCAAGGAAGATTCTCTTCACCTCACTCAAGCAGAAGGAAAAATCTCATGAGACCTGCCTAGAAAACACACTAAACCTCCCCAAATAATGGGAGGAGAGGATCTCTTCTGTTGTGCCATTGAATCATACAAAAACATTCTAAGTATTTAGATAAGTGACAAGAGGCATGGCTAGATATATCAATGAAAATACCTGTTGTGTGAAAATGCCCGTGAAAACCCTTATCAGAGCGTAACATGCTGGTACACACCTGCAGTAACAGCATTGGGGAAGTTGAGGCAGGAGGATTGTAAGCTTGAGGTCAACTTGAGCTATAAAAGAAAAGAAAAGAAAACCATAAGAACAGGGTTTTGTAGCTCACTACAGTAAAGAAAAGCAAACCAACAAAACCACAGTAAGCTGGACACTGTAGCGGGTTACTTGAGCACACTGAGTGAAAGGCACCTTCTGATTGGTTCAATAAAGAGCTGAATGGCCAACAGCTAGGCAGGAGAGGATAGGCGGGACTTCCAGGCAGAGATAGGAACTCTGGAAAGAAGAGAGGCGGGAATTGCCATTGGCAGAACATAGATTATTATAAACATGTTCATTTAAGTTATAACAACTAGTTGGGAACAAGCCTAAACTAAAGCTAAGCTTTCATAATTAATAAGAAGTCTCCATGTCATTATTTGGGAGCTGGCAGTCCAAAGAAAAACTGACTACAAGACATAGTGGCATAAGCCTTTAATCCCAGAACCTGGGAGGTAGAGGTAGACTGACCTCTGTGAGTTCAAGGCCAACCTGGACTACAGAATAAGTTACAGGCCAGCCAGAGTTACATAGTGAAACCCTGTCTCAAAAAAAAAAAAAAAACAAACAAAAAACAAAACATGCACTAACAAAACTACCTCGGATTCGAAGACAGCTCAGTGGGTAAAGCACCTGTCATACATGAGGACAAGAGTTCAAGCCCCCAGAGCATACTCAAAACCAGATGTGGTAGTTCATATCTATAATCTCAGTGCTCCTCCACCAAGAGAGCAAGGGGGGATGGGTATAAAGAAGACAATTCCCAGAGGCCCACAGGTCCGCTAGCCTGGCACATATAGTAAGGGACAAAGTAGAAACCCTGCCTCAGACAAGGCAGAAGGTGAGGACACACAGCATACACACACGCATGCACGCGCACACTTCTTAAACAACAGAGAAAACTAGATTCCAACAACATCTATAAATACTAATTTCCCACAGATTTCTAACAAAAACATCTAAGATCCATCTCTACTGACAAGATAGACAAGAGGTGAATGCTTCCTTGTTTCTCTGATTTAGCAACTTCTCATTAGTCACCCACAACTCTGTTATTCCCCAACAGTCACCTACTCAGAACTCATTTAATGTCTCGGGACTCCAGGAGCCTTTAGAAATGCAGCTTCTTGCCCCCTTCAACAACACCCCCAGGTCCCTGAGCCGGCCATACAGTATCAGATGCTCTGACTCACTGTACAGTTTGAGGATCCCACACCCAGGATGCCTAGGGCCAGCCCTTTTGGATTTCAGGCTTTGGAATATTTGCATATGTGTAACGAGATGTCTTAGAGAAAAGCCAACTTTAAACATTAAATTCATTTATATTCCATATGCATCTTATACACACGGCCTGAGTGTAACTACACACAATGTGTTTAGGGTATCTGAGTTTTAACTATGACCTGTCAGAGGAGGTAGGTGTGGGACGTCCCACACGTGGCATCACATCAGGGCTCTAAAGTTTCAGATTCTGGAGCTCTCTGAGCTCTGAGGGACACATGCTCAGCCCATGCGTGTCCGCCTAAGTGAGCATTTCATCCATCACAGCCCTGTCTTCCCCTTCTTTCCCTTAGGACCTCTAGTTGTCATTCCAAAGCTTGGGAGGAAATCATCTTCTCCACATCAGAGCTTAGACAGCCGGAAGTGTCCATTAATCAGCTAGTCCTCGCATACTGTTTTTGTCTTGTCTTGTTTTCGAAGCAAAGTTGGAATTTATTAAGAGATCTGAATATAGGTCCTAAGCACTATAAGAATGTGGTGAGGTGCCTCGTCCCATCACGTTGTAGGGGAGTCGCAGGGAAGCCATATGACTTCATTTAATCTCACATCTAATGGCAGAGTCCCTCTTGTGTGTGCGGTCCCTGGGCGCCAGACCCTTGTTTCAGTACGCGCTCATGCTGTGCAATTCCTATCTGGGGAACTGAAACAAGCATGTATCAATACAGGAGTTTTATCGCTTTTGCTTTTTATGTTTGGTTTTTGGTTTTTGAGACAGGGCCTCCCTATGTTACCTGAGCTGGCCTGGAACTTGCTATGTAAGTCAGGCTGGCTGTGAATTCAGAATGTTCTTGCCTCAATCTTCCCAAGGCTGGGATTACAAGAATGCTCCACACACACACGGCTGGTTTTTCTTTTTAACAGATATTTTATTACATCTGGGGCAGGCACGTGCCATGGCACACATGTGGAGGTCAGAGGACAACTCTTGGGAGTTGGTTCCCTCTTTCTACCCCGGGGGTCCCCGGGGAACTCAGGTCACCACTCAGCAGCAAGTGCCGCTGTCTGCTGAGCCACCTCGCCAGCCATCACTGGATTTTCTTTAAGCAAAAGGTGAAACCCAAAAGTAAAGTTTTCAGTGACTATTCTGTCCTCTCATTGAGAAGGGAACTAAGAACTAGTATCTATTTATTGTTTACTGACTTTCAGGCCACGCTCAAACATTTTGCAAGAACTCTATTTTAATTAGGCTGTAGAGAAAGCTCAGTAGGGAAAGGCACCTGCCTCCAAGCCTAACACCTCAGCGAACTGACTAACATCAATGACCACAAGAAACGCAGACTGCAGGGGGAGCATGCTGACGGTCTGAGGCAAGCTCTGAAATTAGGAAGTGGACCTAAACCTGCTACTGTTCATATCTGGAACTTTCTCCAAACAATGTTTCTGTCATTAAATTTTGGAAAATATCAACCAGGTCATGAGTCCAGAACAAGGGCAGAGTCATGTAAAATTAAACAAACATTGATTTGAAAGCAATATGACAAGGGCTTGTATTGGAATTTTCAGTTCCCATGAAAGGCATGGGTTCTGTGTTCACTTCCTGATGCTATGTTCCAATCATACAACAGTAAGGCCCCTACCCTCTAGGATAGTTGTTCTCAATCTTCCTAATGCTGTGACCCTTTAATCCAGTTCCTCATGTTGTGGGACCCCCAACCATAACATTATTTGTGTTACTATTTCATAACTGTAATTTTGCTACTGTTCCAGATTGTAATGTAAATATCTGATATGCAGGATATCTGATATGTGACCCCTGTGGAAGGGTCATTCAACATCCCAAAAGGGTTGCAACCTACAGGTTGAGAACCTCTGCTCTAGTATCAACTGATCTTGGTAGTGGGAAGATAAAATGGCATAAGATGTGCACTTCCTTAGCCAATACTCAACCCATTACAATCATTTAATAAATGTCAGTAGTAATCGAGTAACCGTGATAGAAGGAATAGTTGTAGTGGTGGTGGCAGCGGTAGTGACAGCAGGGTCCTCTGAGCACAGCAAAATGTCAACTGGGACATCCAAAGGGTGGATCAGAAACACTGTGTGTGTGTGTGTGTGTGTGTGTGTGTGTGTGTGTGTGGGTGGGTGGGTGTGTACACACGCACGCACACACTCAAGTGAGCAAATATCTGTATATATGTGTGTTTATGTGTGTTTTACTGGGTACCAAAAGAGCTACATCCCAGCCCTTGTAAATGTTACAATCAGCAAGCATGTTTTATAATAACTTGATATATTTCAATACTTTTCAAGAAATATCTGAGGGGATTAGATGTACATCAGTGGTATATGGTTAACAAACACATTCTGAGGAGTGAGACTTCCTGTAAATCTGAAAAGGTATAAAACTTTACAGTACTGTTAGTGGATTTTTTTCCTGCAAAGAGTATTTCATTAAGAAGCTATACCATAGGACCAGTAAGATGGCTCAGCAGATAAAGATTCTTGCTGCCAAGCCGGACAGAACCCACATGGTGGAAGGAGAGAGCTGACTCTTGCAAGTTGTCCACTGACCTCCACACCTGCACTGTGGTACCCATACATGCACCCCCCCAAAAAAAATTAATAAATTAAAATCTAATAAAATTTTTAAAACTACATCATAAATATAAGTGGGAGGTATAATTTAACCACAACCACTATACATAATAAAAAAAATCCTTAAACTCTTACAAATAACTTCTAAATGGTTTTCAAAATAAAGTCCCTTGTTTTTAATTCTTATAGTTCAATCCATCACCAAAACCAACTCTCAACCATTATCCTCTTCATATATTGCTACTCAGTTAATCTTTTTCTCTCTGAATGCTAGCAGACATTAATACATTACATGGTGGCACACATCTGTAATACCAATATTCAGGAGCCTGAGGCAAGGGGATCATAAATTCAACGATGGCCTAGGCTACACAGTAAGTTCCAGGTCAGCTTGGGCCACATTGTGAAATTCTTAAAAATAAAATGAAGGGAGGGAGGGAGGGAGGAGAAAGCCCTATTTTCCCTCCAGTATCTTTCAAGCTGTGTGTATAAATCAAGATGTGCGTATGTGTATCTGTAAGACACGATTTGATATTTAAGGACAATGTGAGACACCAAAAAATGATCTATAAGTTTATCCAGAAAATGGAAGCCAAGTGCAGACCTTGCCTGGGAGGGGCTGCTGATAAAATCAGCTTAGTCCATCTAAACTGCTGTGGTCTGCAAACGAAAGAGAAAGGGATAACATTAATCCTATTGCAGACAGCACTGGGGAGAATCAACATGCTCCCGCTTCAGTCACAGCCTGAGAACTGCCTTGACGCTCTGCTCGCAAGACCTGTTGAAATGTCACAGGAGAAACATGCTCTTACTCCATGTGACCGCTGCATGGAATCCTTAAAAGTCACCCCCCTTCCTCAAAGGTGTTTATAGGATCTACACACCTCGTGTTAGCGGTTTGTTTGAATGCAAGCCTACTTCCTAGGAAACGGATCATCCAAAATCTTCCAAACCATTACATGGCATCTGAGGATTACTCTTGCTGACCAAGCATAGCGAATGCATTCATGCATCCGAAGTTTAATTCCTGGAGTATTTCTTACCTGATGCCAACAAGTGGACTTTGCCTCACCTTTGTACGAACCCACTATCCACAGACTTCCCTATCAGAACTCTTGACCAGGATCCAGTGATGGAGCAGAAGTAACAGCCGTGCAGGGAAAAGCAACCCTTAACTCCACTAGTACCTCTTGGTCTTGTGTTCGAAGTTTCCCACGTCCCCAGGCAGACAGAATCCCGCCAAGCAGCAACACCAGCTCCACGGAGTTGAAGTGAGTCCCTCCAAGCTCTCCTGCGCCCCTTGTCATCCCCCAGAGACGAGCAGGGGAAACGACATGGATCCCTCGGAAGCCGCAAGGCAAGAGAGAACAACTCCAGGTCCAGATGCTCACACAGAGGATGAAACCACGGAGGAAGCTCTACGAGGGGTGAGGCTGCAAGCCAACAGCCTGCGGAAGACACCTCCCCTCTCCAGCCTAAATCCCAGCCGACTTCGCCTTGTTGTCATAGCATTTTACAACGGAGGCTACTGCGCAAGTCAGACGCGGGGCCGCGGGGCCTGCTGGGTGTTGTAGTCCAGGCGGCTTACAGCTCGTGGTGGGGAAGAGAAGGTTCCTGGACCGTCCTAGACAACCTGAATGCTGCGGGGCGGGGTGGAGCGGGGCGCCTCTAAACCACATGGGCAGGCCTGTCCCTCACGGCAGCCTCGGCGGAAGTCCCGCCTCCGCGGGGGGTCTGCCACAGACCACGCCCTCCTGTGCTTGGGTGTCCTGGTGTCTAGGCCAGAGCATGCCTGACTTTTCTGTTTGTATCCGCTTGCTTTCTTTCCTTGGCCTAACTGCTGCAGGAAGATTTCAAACACCATATTGAATAAAGAGTAAAGAGGAGACCCCCTTGTTTCATTCCTCATTTTAGGAAAAAATGCTTACGGTTTCTCCTCATTTAGTATAAAATTGACTATAGGTAGGTTGTCAGTTTGACACACCTGGGAAGGGGTGACCTCAACTGAAAAAAAGGCTGGCCTGTGGGTATGTCTGTCTGGGGGGCATTTTCTTGACTGTTTATTGATGTGGGGGGGCCGAGCCCACTGATGGCTAGACAGGTAGGTCTGGACTTAGGAGAAAGGGAGCCTGGGAGTGACTACCCCACATAGTATCTGCTCCAAGCCCCTCCCCTGCTCGGTGGGGTTCCCACACTAACGTACTAAACAGTGGACTGTAACGTGTAAGATGGAACGGGCAATACCCACACATACACTTGGTTTTGGTCATGGTGCTTATCCCAGCAACACACAGCACACCGGCACAGGTCTGCTGTGTTGAGGTATGTCCGCTACTTTCTTCAGGGCTTTTAGCGTGAAAGAATATTAAACTTGTCAAAGGCCTTTCCTGTGTCTCTTAAGATGACCATATGATTTCTCTCCTTGAATCTTTCTGTATTGTATTACATTTATTGACTTGCATATGCTAAACTGTCCCTGACATGCCTCTAATCAAGCCAAGTTTGTTCATGGTATATGAATTTTTTCAGTGTGTTGTGGAATTGTGGGTGTTTTATGGGTGATTTTTGTACCCATATTCACATCAAGTAGTTTTCTTTTTTTGTAATGTTCTTACTAAGTTTTGGTATCAGGATGATGTTAGCTTTATGAGATGAATTTGGAAGTGTCCTTTCCAATTCTATTTTATGGGGGAAAATTTTTGGATTTTTTTCTTAGATTTATTTATTTTATTTATTTTATGGATATAAGTGTTTGGCCTACATGCATGTAAATATACCACATACATGCCTAGTGCTTACGGAGGGCAGCCTGGTGCCTATAGAGAGCAGAACAGGGCACTAGATCCTTTGAACTAAAGTTACAGACCGTTGTGAGCCCCCACATGCATGCTGAGAATGGAACCCAGGTCCCATGGAAGAACACTATGTGCTTTTAACCACTGAGACGTCTCTCCAGCCACCCATTTTATAGAAATTTTTGAGAAGAATTGGTGTTGATTTTTAGACGTCTGATAGAATTACGGAGTGGGTCCCTCTGGTTTGGGGATTTGTTTAGTTCGGGGACTGTTACTGCCCCACTGTCATTGCTGTCATAGGTCTGTTTAAGCTGTGCATACCCTCGTCTTGGTTTGAGTTTCTATTGCTGTGAAGAGACACCATGACCATGGCACCTCTCAGAAAGAGAGACATTTAATTGGGGCTGGCTTACAGTTTCAGAGGATTAGTCCATTATTGTCATGGTGAAAGATGGCAGTGTGTAGGCAGACATGGTGCTGGAAAAGGAGCTAAGAGTCTTCTGGGGGTTTTGTTTGTTTGTTTGTTTGGTTGGTTGGTTGGTTGGTTGGTTGGTTGGTTTTTTTGAAACAGGGTTTCTCTGTGTAGCCCTGGCTGTCCTGGAACTCACTCTGTAGACCAAGCTGACCTCGAATTCACAGAGATCCACCTACCTTTGCCTCCTGAGTGCTGGGATTAAAGGTGTGCACCACCGCTGCCCCACAGGAGCTAAGAGTTCTACATCTTGATACTCAGGCAACAGGAAGTGAACTGTGTCCCACACTGGGCATAGGAAACCTCAAAGTCCACCCTGACAGTGACACACTTCCTCCAACAAGGCCACACCTCCAAACAGTGCCACTCCCTATGGGTCCAGCAGTCAAACACATGAGTCTGTGGGGGCCATACCTATTCAAAACACATAACCCTCCTGTAGCTGGAGTTTTCCCCAGTCCTGCCTAGCCCCATAGACGCCACAACTGCTTATAAAATAATCACTCAGAAGCTCATATTAATTAAACTGTTCGGCCATTAGCTCAGGCCTACCATTGTCTAGCTCTTACACTTAAACTTAGCCCATTTCTATTCATCTATACCTTGCCACTGCCGGTAACTTACATCTTGCTATCCATCGTGGCGGCTGGCAGCATCATCTGACTCAGCCTTCTTCCACCCAGCATTCTCCTCTCTCCTTGTCCTACCTACACTAGCCTTCCTGCCTGGCTACTGGCCAATCAGCGTTTTATTTATCAATCAATTATAGTAACATATATTTACAGCATACAGGACATCCCACAGCACCCTCCTGCTATAACTTTGGTAGGTCATATGTTGTATCCTTTTCTTCTAGATTTCCTAATTTGGAATATAGGTTTTTAAAGTGTTTACTAATGATCCTCTGAATTCCATTAGTGTCCGTGTGGCATCCTATCTTTATCTCTAATGTCAATTAATTTAGGTCTTCTCTCTCTTTCTTTTGGTTAGTTTGGCTCAGAGTGTCTATCTGGTTGGTCTCTGCTAAGAATCAGCTCTGTCATTGTCATTTCTTCTGTTCTCTTTTTCTAATGTGTTTTTATTAATTCTTTGAGATTTGCAAACAATGTATTTTTAACTATTATTATTTTTATTTTAAGTGTGTGTGGATTTTGAATAAGAATTCCCCCCACAGGCTCATAGTTTGAATGCTTAGTCACCAGAGAGTGGAACTGTTTGAAAGGGTTAGAAGGTATGACCCTGTTGGAGTCAATGCATCACTGGGCTTTGAGGCTTCAAAAGTCCATGCCATGCCCAGTCTGCTGCCCCTTCCCTGTAGATCAGAACACAGCTCTCAGCCATTGCTCAAGCAACATGCATGCTGCCATGTTCCTCATTATGATGGTAGTAGATTAAACCTCTGAAACTGTAAGCAAGCCCTAATTAAATGTTTCCTTTAGTAAGAGTTTCTGTGGTCATGGCCAGCAAAAACAACTCTTCACAGCAATAGAATAATGACTAAGACATAAATTAGTACTAGGAGTGGGGTGTTGCCATGACAGGCCTGACCATGCTCTTGTTTGGAGGAATATGGAAGACTTTGGGACTTTGGACTAGAAAAACTGTAGGCCAACTTTTTTTTCCTGCCTGCCAGTTCCCAAATAACTGACATGGAGATTTAATATTAATTATAAATGCTAAGCCAATAGCTTAGGCTTATTGCTAACTAACCCTTACAACTTAAATTAACCCATTTCTATTAATCTACATTCTGCCATGAGGTGCTACTTCTCCTTCATTTTGCACCTCCTGTTTCCTCTCCGTGTCTGGCCGGTGACTCCTCTGACTCTGCCCTTCTTCTTCCCAGTGTCCTTAGTCTGGTTCTCCCACCTAACCTTATCATGTCCAGCTATTGGCCAGTCAGCTACTTTACTAAAGCAGTCACAATGACATATATTCACACAGTGTAAAGGAGTAGTCCACACAAAGCGGTTGGATGCTCTAAGCAGGCTTAGTGGACCATCCTACTAGGAACATGGGCAACGGTGCTGGGAGTACTGTAAGCTGTGACGGCCCAGCTCAAGAAGTCTCAGAGGGGAGGAATGTTAGCGAGTGGCCTAGAGACAGTTCCTGTGATACTTTGGCCAAGAATGTAGCTGCATTTTGCCCTTGTTCTAAAAATCTGCCTGAGACTAAACTGAAGAGTTTGGATTAAAGGCATTGGCATTGGAGATTTCAAAACAGCCTAATATTGACTCTGTCATGTGGTTACTAGTAATCACTCTTATGCAGATCTGCAGATCTATAATGAAAAAGAACAAGGTGGAGAAACAGAACTACAAATTGTACAGCTTGAGGGAAAAAAGGATGTACCAGGAAGGATGTCCAGTGCTCAAAAGAATAAAAAGCTTGATACTAAATGGAATAAAGGTAGTGGTGACCTCAGAGCAAGACCCCAAACAACTAAGCTTCCTGCTTCTGAAAATGAATTAAGCTTAGGCAGTAAAAGACACCACCATGAACAGAAAGCTGATACAGGTGTCACTGAACACGGGGGGCCAAGTTCTATCCCCAACAAACAACAGAACTTGGCAGCTTTGGCTAGTTTTACAGTCAAGGATACAAGAAAGGGATTGTGGAATCTCCCTCCATGGCTAAGGAAAGCTGCTGAGGCCAGGCATGTGTCAGTAGTATCCTTGCCACGAGGCCCAGGGAGGCCATTGCATGGAGCTGTGAAGGTAAAGCCTGGATTGTGTGGAAACCCCAAGATGCAGGAGATGCCAGAGGATAGGATGCCTGCTGAGGAGAGCTGCTAACAGGGAGTGGAACAAGCCCAAGAGAAAGAAGTGTATTGCAGTCAACCAAGCTGAAAGAAGTTGGAGATCTGAACAGGTCTTTGACATCAGACACGGAGATGTAGAATTTGGAATGTGCCCTGCTGGTTTTTGGTCTTGCTTTAGTCCAGTATTTCCTCACTGTACCTCCTTTCCTCTGTTTTGGAATGATAATGTGAAACCTGTGCTATTGTATGTTCAAAGTATGTGATCTGGTTTTTTATTTTTATTTTATAGGAGGTTACAGTTAAGAGATTGCCTTGAGTCTCAGAACAAACTTTGTACTTATAAACAGGGTTGATAGACTGGAGATTTTTTGAAGTTGAACTGGATACTTGCATTTTGATATGGCTACAAGCCTATTGGGACCAGGGAGTGCAATGTGGTGGTTTGAATAAGAATGGCCCACATAGGCCCATATATTTGAATGCTTAGCTACCAGGGAGTGGAACTGTTTGAGAGGATTAGAAGAATTAGGAGCTATGGCCTTGTTGGAGGAATGTGTCACTGAGGGTGGCCTTTGAGGTTCCAAAGGCCCATGCCAGGCCTAGTCTCTCTCTGCCTGCTGCCTGCTGGTCAGAATGGAGCTCACTTACTGCTCCAGCACCATGCATGTTCCTTGCTGTTATGATAATGGACCAAAACTCTAAAACTTTAAGCGAGCCCCCAGTTAAATGCTTTCTTCTGTGAGAATTGCTTTGGTCATGGTGTCTGTTCACAGCAAAAG